CATGGCAATTTGTATTATTTATTTTGGATTTACGTACAGCGTATGACATCTTGTAAACACACTAAGCTCCCAGCAAGTGCACGCAGTCATCCACAATGATGTTTGTTAAAGAATAACTTTAAAATTAGAAGACGTGCTCCTGCTGAAGCAAAATTCATGCAAATTTGTGAAAATTTGCAAGGCTACTTTTTTTTCCAGAGGATGTTTACAAGAATGCATCTGCTCTGATATCCCTTGACAATGTGTATTGTAGAATGGCATAGTGGACATATCTAGTAACTTATTTGCCACTTACACCCTAGTTGAAAAACAAGCAAAAAAAACCCCCAAACCACAACTCCCTCCTTCCTCCCCCTCCCATACCTATAACTAACAAATATATACCAATTTTTCATCATGCTCATTTGTTTGCATCTCCATCCCCTACCCTCTGTTTGTGTCATTAGACTGTAAACCCTGCCAGGCAGGGATTGCCTCCTTTCTGTGTTTGTGCTGGATCTTGCACAATGTGACCGCAATTCTAACTGTGGCCGTTAGGCCTGAGCAAAATGTAAATATACACTAATAGTTATCTTCCCCCCTCCTGCCACATGCTGCAAAAAAAAATAGAAGTTTTCCCTGGAATTTGGTTTATCTTTTCAGTTCCCACACTTCTAAATAGAGTTTTTCCTCCTTTTCTTTAATCTCTCATAACCAAAAAAGCAATAGGAATTAAGACAAAGGCTATATTTTGAGCTTTTTATTCAATTCTGAATTAAAATGGGGGTAAAAATCCTGTTCCAGCTTAGGCCCCAATCTTGCAAACATTTATGCAGGTATTTATCTTTATGAATATGACTAGCCACATTGACACAGTGATTAGATTCACAAAGGGACTTAGGCACCTAGAAAATCACTGGGATTCACAAAGCCTGAGTTAGGTGCTCCGGCTTCCTATACTTTGAATGGAGAGAAATACATGTCTGAGAATGTGCCTCTCAACAGGCAGCATGCTAGGTGGCACCCCACCTAAGCTAGCCAACGCGATATAGTGAGGAGAGACGGCCCCTTTCAGAGAGTTTAGCACCAAAGTCCAGGCTGGAGACAGGCACTTATTTCTGCTTGGAATTCTAAGTTGCGAGCCCTCTCCGGGAGGCTGGTGGCAGTACCTGCCAACACCTCCTTTCTAACTTTTAGCCCTGTAGTTAACATGCTTATGTAGAAGACCACCTTTTCAAGTCCCACCTCTACCTGATGAGAAAAGGGATTTAAATAGCCACCTGCAACCTCTGAGATCAGTGCTCTAACCACTGGGCTATGGGATATTCTGAGGTAGGGCTCCCTCAATCTCTCCTGTTGCAGCTGTTCCACTTTGGATAAATGATAAATCACTGGAGCCATGCAACTAGATTCCAGGCCTTCTACACCCCAGGTGAGCATGCTAACCATCAGTCAAAAGAGTCATCCTCAGGCATCTGTCTCTTTTGCTGGCCCAATGGCTTTTTAATTATTTATCCAAGGTAAAACAGCCTCAATAGGAGAAACTGAGGGAGCCACCTCTCAGAATATCCCACAGCCCAGAGATTAGGGCACTTATCTGAGAGGTAACAGATCCCTGTTCAAATCCCTTCTCCTCATCAGGTAGAGGAGGATTTCAACCAAGGGCTCCCACATTCCAGTAAGAATCCTAACCGGTAGGGCACCTGCTCTCCACCCTCCCCGGCTGTTTTTTTTGGTGGAATTAGGTATTCTCTGAGCACACCTACCGGATCAGGCCCCACAGGTGAGTTAGGTGGCACAATGCCTATCTTCCCCCTGTTCAGGCACTGCACTGGAGATTAGGCTGGAGACAGGTGTCTAGATGTCTAAAGCAAGGCAGCAATGCACGTACCCAGAGGCAGAAATCTAAGCACAGAGGGAATCTTCGCTGCAAAAACGTAGGCATCTAGTGAGTTTACTACCTACAGGGTTTGGCAGCAGCTAAGCAGGAGTTTTGTGAATACCAGAGGTGCTTAAATCTGGGATTTATGGTCCTAAAACCCTGTGTGAATTTAGCCCAATGTGACTACAGATGTGGGTAAAGGTAACCCCAGCTGTAAATGTTTAGAGGATTGGGGCTTAAGTGTCTCCTTGACTCTCACAGAGCAACAGTTTCTACACATCTTTATTAAAAAAAATACGGCAGTAGCCTACAGACACTATAGTTACCCCAGTGTGAGTCTATAGTTCTTGGACCATTATTTTAGGGTATTGGGTTTTTTTTAAATTAAGGACACAGTGCTGAAGTTAGGATTGAGGTCGGGGCCTAGCTTCAGGAATCAAGTGTTTTAAAAACCCACACCTGTATATCAAAACCTAAGCTTCAATCCTGCAAGTTGAGGCGCAAGTCCCTTTTCAGTGGGACTCGATGAGGGTGTAAGCATTTGCTCATGTAGATCAGATTGCAGGATCAGGTCCTAGAAGTGATTTTTACTAAGGTCCCATCCTGTCAACACTTAAGTACATGCTTAATTTTACTCACACAAGTACTCCTGCTGAAGCCAAATGGGACTGCTCAGGTGTGTAAGAGTTTGGGGTCTAAATGTATCTATTTTTTTCCAAGTATATTAGTTATTTGTATTACTATATGCCTAGAAATGCCAGCCAGAGCCTCAATGTGCTAGGCACTGAACAAATACAGAACACCAAGACAATCATTGCCCTGAAGAGCTTACAATCTAAATACCTAACTGGCACCTTTGCTGCCCCCAATTTCACATGAGAGCATTCATGCCATTGGGGGTTATTAAAAAGCCTAGTGCTAAACAATACACCTAGATGCAAAGATTATTTTTTGCCAGTGGAAAAACAAAAAGCAAAACCCAGCAATCAAAACAAACATCTGCAGCAACATTGGTAACTAATTCATTTTTGTTTTCAGTATTCTTGTGTGTGTAGAAAAGCAACAAGACAAAGATGTTGAAAAACATACATTAGTGACCAAGCTTGTATTTTAGGTGGGCCCAGATGTCTTTAAGGCCTTATAATTGTAGATATTTCTTTGAGAAAATTCATTGCTATCATAAGCAGGGACAACTCCAGTGAAGTCAATGGATTGACATACATGATCACCAGTGGTGAATCTGATCCAATAAGAAATCCCTTTATGAGCGATGGAATCAGAGGTACTTGTGACTGTAGGTTTTTAAATGTAATTTTAACATGTTGCAGTTCTCATTGACTTCAATGGGAGTTACATTTGCACAAAGGATCCACCAAGCTCTAGATGTGTTTTTCTATAAAATCTTTGAGAGCTGCCTTTTGTTTTGTGACTTTTCTAGCAGGGAAATTGCTACAGGGGTTCAGTATGTCTTAAATGGATAGTTGTTCACTTATGCTCAAAATTAAACATTTTGTTAGTCGATTTAGTGGTTAACTTTCTGTCCAAAGTTTGACAGGACTAGAATGTTAGCAAATAAAGATTAATGCTCTCTCCATGCAATTATTTCTCTTCTCTCCTGACCCTTCCTTCATCCCAGCTTCTGATGAATCAGGTTGCTTTGATTACAGTTTGTGTTATAAATTAGCACTTTAAAAATGAAAAAGCTTCATTACAAACATGAATTTATTAGTCTTCATAACACTCCGGTGAGTAGTTATTCCCGTTGGCCATACCTGGAAATGTTAAGTGACTTGTGCCCTGTCACAAAGGGAAGTACACGACCACAGCTGTTCCTGGATCCTAGTTCGCCCTCCCCATGTATTCCTCCTCTTCCAAGCCCTCTGGAGAATATTTATAGGAGCAATTCCACTCTGAAATTTAACACTATAAAAACAATACCTTCTTACTTACCAGACATGCTTCCCTTTGTGAATTTACAAAAAGAAAAGGAGTACTTGTGGCACCTTAGAGACTAACCAATTTATTTGAGCATGAGCTTTCGTGAGCTACAGCTCACTTCATCAGATGTAGCTCATGAAAGCTCATGCTCAAATAAATTGGTTAGTCTCTAAGGTGCCACAAGTACTCCTTTTCTTTTTGCGAATACAGACTAACACGGCTGTTCCTCTGAAATTTGTGAATTTAGTCATCTCTGCAACACAAGTTTGTATTGCTTTATTACTTTTAATGCTGCAGAACCACACAGAAAGAATGGAGTAAACTGGATTCTCTTCTTTCTTGTGCATCATGCACAGAACTGTTTACTAGAGGCCAATTAGCTTGAATTCAGTGGAACTGCAGAGATGTAACTTTAGGGCATAATTTAACTGGCAGAAGCTTTATTGCAAGTGATGGTGCAATAAAGGAAAAAATCCCAAACTGACTCTCAGAGACCAGGCTGAGTTAAAGAACAATATTCACTTGTTTTTACTGCAAGACTGGGTATTAAGAGACAATGACCGCAGAACCTCAAGGCAGCATTTTCACAGTTGCATTTTAGAGCAGAATTGCACTTCCACGCTCTTTTCCTTGCACAAGGGTAAGCGATCAATCCCTTTAAAAACCAGTTACACACCCCACCCCTAGCTCCTTGCTCTGCGTTATGTATTTGTTTCTTGAATTGCAGAAGAGCCTGATGGCTCTTTATGTCTTGCTTTTCCTTGCACAACTTGGCAAATAAACCCGCTAGCCAAACCAGCCCCTGAAAGGCTACAAAATGGATTTGTGTAAATAATACATTGATGTATTTACATGCCTGGCCCTTTTATTGCTTGCTCGGCGGAGACGGAGATGCAGCAGCAGCAGCAGGTCCCTTCTAGGCAGGGTTTGGTTTTCTGCCTCCTGGAGGCTTTGACCTGGTGGCTTCCCTCGGATGCGCCACCGCTCGCTGGCCACCAGGGGTCCCAGACACGCGCGGCTTCCCAGCCGCTCTTTGTCCTGCTGCTTCCCCCGCGAGCCCGCCTCCCCATCCCGTTCGGAGCCCGGGGCTGGAGCCGCGGGAGCGAGGCGGCAGACGCTGCCGACTTGTACAAGTGGCCGCCAGTCAGGAAGCACAGCCACGCCCCCGCCTTCCCCCCTCTCTCCCCCCCCCCGAGCCCGCCCGCCTCGCCGGCCGGGCTGCTCCAGCCCCCACTGCCGTTCCACCTCGCTCGCTTAGCAGGTCAATGAATAGCCCGCGGCTTGAGGCTGAGGAGCCCGGCTCTGGAATCGTCCTCGAATCCCTGCCTAGCAAACATGCGCCTCTGCACTTTCTCTGATTCCCCAGCCAGGAACGTAGCTGCTTGAGAAGTTGGAAAAACCGGGAGGACTAACAGGGGCGTGTAAAGCAATCCGGAGCTACAGACGGAGGGTGAGTGTGCACGGCGTGCAGCGAGCTCTGCTCCCACCCGGGCTTAGTTCTCGGTGGGCATGAAGGGTGTGCGTCTGTCTCTCGGGGTGCAGGTTCTGGGAGCTGTTGGTTTCCCTAGGAAACCCCTAGAGGATGGTAGAACTCGCCCCTGTAAAAGGGGGCCCCCGCTGAAACTTGGTGGGCAATGGCAATACAAGCTGAAGTATTTATTGAAATGCTAATGCATGAAAATGTCCGTTGGAGGTCTCTCTTTAAATGATCCAGCTCTAAACCAACAATTAGCTGTTTGTTTTCTTGGCTGCCCCTTTGCCCACGGGTAACTCAAACCAATGTAGTTCATATTCCAAACCACAAGCAATGACAATATGGAGTACATGGGCTTTTTGATCAATAATAAAAACGTAAATAAAGTCACAGCATAAAAATGAACCTAATAATTATCTGTACAGAAGTTATGTTTAATGAGGGTTTTTAGCAGACAGTTTTATATATAGTAGGGACACATACAAATAGGTTAGACCAGGCAGGATTCTGTAATAGTCTAGTCTCCTAGGTAATTATTGCAGTTTGCCTTTTGTATCTTACAATTTTAAAAAGCAACAACAATCAAGGAAACTATTTAAACACACAACTGTGAAACAAGCAAATATATATTATAGCCACACACTACATGTACATATGTACCCACACCCATATGCTACAAACACAATTTATATATTTAAATCATTGAAATGTACAAATAAAACTCGTACTATTGCAAACATTTGAAGTCGCAACACAAAATAAGAGCCACAGCACTCAAGGTTTAGTCTCATACTGCATCCCTAACTCATACTTGTATATTTTCCTCCCTATAGGATAGGGAGAGCTATGAATACAGTTTTTTATGGAAAAATATGGCTACAATATTCATACCTTGGTCTTCAGTTTATGATTTTGTGTGGGTCTACAGTATTTCTATGTTCATATGTAATATTGGACATATGCACAGTGGTTCAATTTTAGAATTCCTGTGTAGTTTCTTGTTGACTGCAAGTTTCACTAGTCTTTTTAAATATAGAGACCATTATCTGTATATATGTCTCTGTGCATGAACATTCATTGTGTGTACATATCACCTTAACTTCTCAGAAGCGTTATATAGTATGAATGTGGTTTTTGGTTGTGTGGGCATGGAAATATGACAGAAAACTCAATCTTGAACTATCACTGGACAGAGGGGAAAGAAGAAGAAGGAGGCTAGCGATATATAATATGTGCGTGTGTTCTTCTCTGTGTGTGTGCATGCATCTGAGTCTGTCTGAGTCAGTCTGTGTCCATGAACTTTACAAGCATTCGGTTCAATACCATTCAGTGCAGATTCCAGTTTCTGGTTTACAGCCCAGCAGCCAGCCAGCCAACCCACCTGTTAAAATATAACGTACATTCCAGCCAAAGCACTTGGAAAAGCAAAAAATAACAGTAAGAAATAATGTGTTATCTTAACGCAAGGCATGTGTATTAACTTCTGCCTTGATGTACCATAATGGAAAATGAAGTCTGTGAGTATAAGCCAAATTGTATTTTATTAGAGGTTTGGATTAGTGACTGGTCTGTTGGGGATTTATTTGGGCAGAGAATTGAGAGTCCACATAAATGAAATATAATTTGACACATACACAACTTAATTTTTACCTGGATAAGAATGCTGTATCTGTATCAGGATGGATTTCTACTTCTTGTTTTTCATAATATACTGATGTGTAATTTTAACTTTATTACCAGGAAAAAATTGCAACAAAGGTTTATTCAAGTGACTGTTCCAGTAACTACAGCTAAGGCTTTTTCTGCAATTCCATTGCAAAACCAATTCTTCACACACTTAAAAATACCGCGCCCATTCTGAGTCTCAGTATAGGAACACCGTGTCCTTTTTTATGACTTAGTCTTTATACAGTGGTTTGAAGATGTAAAGGGCTATGTACGTGTTAAATATTGCTGTCTATGACATTTTAAAAAATAGTTTGATTTAAATTTTAGAAAGTTTTTAAATGTACCAATTTAACACTCTTGCACTCGCCTTTAAAAATGGTTTGAACATTTTAAAAAAATGTTTGTCGAACAGTAACTCCATGGAGAAATCTAACCACTTCAAGAATCACTAAGCTGTGTAAAGCAAGGGCTATGTGTACACCGCACTTTTGTTGGTAAAACTGTTGTTGGTCTGGGGTGTGAAAAAACCCACATCCCTCCCTGATCAACAAAAGTTTTACCGACAAAAAGCGCCGGTGTGGCCAGCACACCTACTGACAAAGCTACCAGTCCTCGTTGGGGGCGGTTTTATTTTGTCGGTAGGAGAGCGCTCTGCTGCCAGCAAAGAGTGGCTACACTGCGTACCTTACAGCGGCACTGCTGTAGTCGTACACCTGTGCTGCTCTAAGGTGGATTGGTCCAGTTCTGGAACTGAAAAAAAACAAACCAGTGTTTCCAAGTCAATAAATAGCTGACGTATTATTATAACTGATAATTAACTATGGTTTAGAGTGCCAAGCGAAAGCCGCTAGCCCTTTTTCCGCCACCTGTTACTTTGCACTTGCATGCATTTAAGTTCAGTATGAAAAGTGAAGAGGGATTGTGGGTGCTTGTCTGTAGGAAAAGTACAGCAGATGGAAAATTTAATACAAAGAAGGTGAGAAATAACTAATAAAATGTCAACTGAAGTAACAAGATGCACGTGGGTGTGTGCTAGACTGTAATTCATTAGTACATGTTCTACTTCCCATTATATTTTTCTTCTGCGTTCTGGGGCTAACTAGCTGCACGATGTCTAAGAAGCAGCAACAGAACTACATCCTGCCAACTTTTAGAATTAAGGGAAGACTCTCTCAATGATAGCAATCTGGATCTGTGTTCCTCTGCTGTACTCGCCTGTTTTTTTCCTACCTCATAATTTTTGTATCTATTTTTAAAATGCATATGTTTATGAAGTTTGCCACAATGAGTCTCCTGGGCTTACTCTTCTTGGCTGGAGCCATCTTTAGAGTAATAAGTCATCAGACCGCCATTGATCTAATGATGTACCTATTACTCGCTGTTCAAATATTGGCAAGAAAAAGAGTACGGTTCTAAATGTTTGCATCAAAAGGGCTAGGGGAAACTAGTTATATTGTATTTAATCTTTGCAAGCAAGCAACCGCATTTTCAAGTGTATATGTATTTTCTAATGATGAAATGTATATCTTAGAAAGAGTTTGATTATATCTGCTGCAGGAGAGGGAGAAGTAATAATTTATATGAATTCCAAACCTGGATTCCAAAGTGTATTGAAGGAAAGAGAGTAGACTTCATATTGGTGGCCTTACCACCACTTTTTAATAGCAAAATACTGGATTTCTCCAAAATACTCAGCCTTTCCTCCCCATGCACAAAAAAAGGCACATTTTCAAAAGAGTTTTCTCCTTTTGTGTACCTACATAAAGTAGCCAGATTTTTTAATAGGGGTCAGTTTCCAACAGAAAAACACAATATTCAGTGAGAGGTAAGAATTAAATACTGTAAGCAATGTGGTGAGGTCAGTTTTCAAAGTGAAAGCTTTGTAGACCTCTCTATTAAATGTAAATGTGAATTGAGGTGGTTGCATGCTATTTGAACCTCTTCTTTATTTCCTGATCCATTAATAGATTCTGGGTTAGAGTGATGAGGTGGGAGGTTCTGGTAGGATGGATTTTCTTCTCTTTTTACCTTGCCCGTTTTTGTTTGCCCTCCATTCCCTTGACCCCACGGTCCCCTTTTCACTTTCCTCCTGCTCCTCCCTTGTTCCTTTTTCTGCATGGTTATCACTCTCGTCTCATTTCCCTCTTTTTACCCACTCTCCCTCTTGCTTTCCCTTTTCCTTTTTTCTTTACTCTGTTCCCTCTAGTTTTCTGCACCTCTCGTTGGTCTTAATCAGTTTTCTCATCATTCTAGCCCTCTCTGCTAGGTTTTACATCTCTCTCTCCCATCACTCTTTGCCCCTTTCTTCCAAGTTCCCCTTTCACTCTTCTTGCCTCCTTCATCTCTTCCCAGTCCCTCGATGCAGTTGCTCTTTCTTGCTGTTCCCATGCCATCTGGTGTGTTCACATAGCTAGTCCTGCAACACTTACTAGCAAGACCCTCATGACTCTACCAAAGCTCTTTGCTAAATTACCTCCAATGCATACTTAATCTTGGTTTCTAGCTGCATATGAAATATTTAAAGCGAATAAAGAATTGTCAGTGTTAATAAAGAAAAAGACTCTAGCCCCACAACGTAGACTATATCCCTTCTACTCTGCAATCTCCCCCACCTCAGGCAAAGGGATTGGCCTTGAACGGAGACCTGAAGGTCAGCTCCCAGGAACTCTCTAAGCAGTGAGAGGGAATGAATTTTGGAGCCAAGGACCTACCAGTGAGAATACCTGGTCTCCTGATTGTGGTTCATGGTGGCACATAGGAAAAAAGGAAGTGGGGGGGCCCTCAGGTAGCCTTGACCCAAACCATTTAGGACTTTATAGATCACCGTCAGCTCCTTTGATTGCACTTGAAAATAAGTCACAAATGCAAATAGGAAGTCAGTATAATTTTTGGAGAAGTATTATAATACACTTCCTGTGGCCACCACTACCAAGCTGTATTCTGCAGCGGCTGCAGCATCAAAACAGTATTTAAAGGTAGTTCCATGTAGGGTCCACTATAGCAGCCCAATCTGGGGGTTACAGTATGTTAAATTGCTATAGCCAGGTCCACATCACAGAGAAGTTGTTGCAAGCACCTTACTAGACCTATATGAAGTGAGGCACTCTTGGCCACCTCCTGGGAAAACAGGAGTAGCTGGGATCCAAAATACCTCAAGGATAGTCCAGGGAAATCCCCATCAGTGCCAGAGAGAGGGACAAATTAATTCTCTTAGTCTGTGGGCTGGGCTACAGAGTTCGGGTCTTCTCTCTTTACCCACAATATGACCCCCACTGATGTGAATAGAAACGTTGTGCAAACTGTGTTTC